TCGCATATTGTTTCTCTTATTATTCACAGTATTTAAAACACTATTCAGAATTAAACTATCATTGCAAAATTTAAATTAAATGGTTTAAAATTAATGTACATGTACAATTTTAAATAATATAAACATTTACGGAAAATTATTAACCTGAATAATAAAATTGTAATGTTTAACGTTTCCTTATCTAGCCTAAACAGTTTTGTACATGTTTCCAAAATATATTTAGCAAAAGCAATTTCTTTAGGCGAAACTTGCAAAGTTTAATTTAGGTATAATATCTAAACCGCACTTTCTGTTTTAAACATGTTTATAATAGATATATACATACCTCTCAAAATGGAAGATTTCAGTTAATTTAAGTTATTACAAAAATATAGTTTATTATTATGAATAATGCAGTAAAATGGAAATATTAAAAAACCAGAATATCGAAAAATACAAATAAAATTTTATATATAATAAAAAAAATTAGATATTTTCCAGTCTTCTAAAATGAATGGAAATATTTATTATATTAGACATTTATTGCGCCAGTGGATTGATAAACCTCACAATGCTTTTTCTCAAACTTTGTGAATTGAACCATTTTAACTTTATTTTTCTTAATATTTCCATCAAGCCATCTGAAGTTGTTATATAAAACATTGCCAATAAAAGGGAAATATAAATAAGATTTACCTGACTTTTTTCTTGCCTTTTGAATTCCAACTAGTTAAAAGATTATACTAAATCATCAATCTACAGTTTATGCTGATTGATGATTTTTATGAATCAAAGTGTTCGCGATTTGGCGAATTTTAAAGATTTAAGCTTACCGTTTGGCAATATTATCTTAAATTCTTTGATTTATTATTACAATATTAAATCAATTAGTATAGTAGAGCATCATTTCCGAAATTCAATCATATGAAGGATTTCAACATTCAAGTCTACTTCGTTGGTGGTAGGCGTTTTATAATTATATTTCATAGTGTTAGTTGAAAGCAATATCAGAGATCTATTATTATCTATTAAGTCATCGATCTGCAATTTATGCTTGATTAAAAGTGTTTGCGATTTGGCGAATTTTTTGTATATATATATATTTACTGTTTGGCAATATTACCTTAAATTATTTAATATATTAATTTAATCCGAAAATTGATTGGCATAGCATTTCATCTATATCCCGCCAAACTCAATCATATGAAGGATTTCTACATTCAAGACCTTTCTTTTTGGCAGAAATTATATAATTATAGTTCTTAGTGTTAACAGTCAAATTTTAAACAGTAGGTCTGACTTTAACATTTATCTGTTGAGTTTGGTTTGTCGCTCTACTGTCATCTTGTGCATACCAGGGCTAAACAGACTGGGACCTACAATTTAAATACAGTGTTGGTCGATTATTTTTTTTTTTTTTTTTTTCAATCCAGCAGGCAAAAACGCACTACCCAGGAGGTGCTTTGAGCAATTGATCTTCAGACGCTGAGTAAGCCTTTAGGCAAGCGCGGGACCACAGAGTAGTTACTACAAACACTTAGCCGGGACTCGAACCCGATATCTTGGTAGCACTAGCCACCAGGAGGTGCGTGATAGGCTTATTAATTATATATTATAGACTGACAACACTTCCCAGTAAAAAGAAATTTTCTTCTTCTTGAAAAATTACCTGTTGGCAGAAGCCTTGGGGCTGTTCAGACAGTCGGAAAAGCCACACTATTCATCCAACCACCCTATACTCTGCGCAAAAGCACTACGATCTTGTTAGAGATGTTGGACCAGCTGATATATTAAAAAAATAATTAAATTAAAAATGCCACAAAATTCCGAAATTTCATATTTTATCAAGATCATCACATAAACAACCCATGGGAAAACCGCCGGAACCTGCATTTCTCTTTTTAACAGACATAAGGATAATTGAAAATCTGTGGTGCATACTAAAATGTCCTTACAGCCCATAAAATTAAAATTGAAAAACATTTTTTGTATGAAGAATGGAACAAAGCGTTGAATATGCTGATTAATGAATTAAAAAAAAATGTTCTGTGTTAAAAAAAAAAATATGATATTTATTAATGGGTGATTATAATTTTAATTAAAATATGCATTGATTTAGATATTTAGAATTTAAATACCTTTTTAATAAGGACATTTCTTTTTTTAATCCGTATTCTTTTCTTTCTTTCTTGTAAAATCATTTGATAAACTTACAAAGAAACATTTTAAAATTTCTTTAAAATGACCTGTTGGTTATACTACTGTGTCCCAATTTCAGGACTTATGGAATTTCGTTTTTTTTTTTTTTTTTTTTTTTAGGTTGCTGAGCACTGTCCTTGACATCTGTGTGAAATTTGACGTCAAAAAAATTCATTAGTGTTAGAGTTAAGCCTTGTGAGACGCTAAAACTGATTCCGGCGATTTTTGAAATGCCTGAAATAACTGTGCAAAGAACTTGCATTAAATTTTGTTTGCGAAAACGTGAGCATTCGGCGAGCATTCCTATATCAAACAGTTCAAAGAAGCTAGAGAACGCGTTGAAGACGAAGAGCCCTCTGTGCGGCAATCCAATTCACCCGATTGAAGCTTCTTCGTAAAAAAAAAAAAAAACTTTTTCGTACAAACCGTTGATATACGATTAGAACTTTTTGCTGATGATGTTGGAATTTTAAAAGGATCGGCCAATTCCATTTTGGGCCTCAAACGCGTCAAATATCGATGGGTACCGAAAACACTGAATGCGGCAATTCACACGCATTGATTCTTCGTGATTTTTTCGCCAAAAAAGGAAACCCTGTTCCACAACCACCGTATTAGCACCGTGCGACTTCTGGAATCTAAAAAACCACTCCGGGGACACCGTTTTGAGTGGATTGAAGAGTGATTCAACATGAATCGAGCTCTCTTTTTGAAAGCCATCCCTGCCGATGACTTTTTAGCATCCATTAAAGATTGGAAAAAATGTTGGCATATGTGCATTGCGTCCGAAGGGGATTACTTTGAAGGCGATGAAATAAATTTGGAAGAATAAAAAGTTTTTGAAAAAAAGTAATTGGTCTTCATTTTTGAGCACAGTAGTATTTTGTTGTTTAGTGATAAAAATATATATTGTAACGATATTTAAGGAGTGGAAATTTATTTTAATCCTTAAAAGTCTCAAGATAAACAATATAAGTGCTTAAAGTCATGATATTACATTTAAAAGGCAATAAAGTCATGATATACATAAGAAATGAACTTTAATGTTTAAAATTGAAATGGAAAGATCATTTAAAAAAGGGGAATATTTCCTCATTTCATTACTCACAAGTAATATACGGTATGCATCTGAATAACTTATGAGTAAATAAAGACTATGAGACTATGCGGTTTATGAAAATAATTTTGTGTTTGAACATAAATTTAAAAGTTTGAATTTTTCATAACTTACAGTTAATTAAGTTATAAATTGTTTCATTTTGCAACCTGACAAAAAAAATGATCTACAATGTGGAGTTTGTTAATATTGTAGAGGTAGTGTGTGACTTAGAAAATGTTTTTGTCGCTCCGCCTTGAAATGCAACCCAGTTTACTGTAGGATTTAATGGCTATACAATTGGAATGCCATGATGATGTGAATAATTACTAGTTAAGATAGAATGTCATATACAAAGAAATCTCAAAGCAAACTACAAGTCTGAAAGATTCAAACAGTTGGAGGCAACACGGGGCCTTCAAAACTATAAAGGGATCATTATCAGAATTCAAACTGAATTGTTCTTCGTTGCTAAAGACGACTTCTCTACATTCCATCGTAGTCCAAAATTGCGGAGAGGTACATCACTCCTCAAAGGTTTGGTTTGGTTTGTCGCTCTACGGTCATCTTTTGCACACTTTAGACTAAACAGACCGGAACCTACGGTTTAAAGTGGATTCGAACAAACATCCATGGCACCGCCTGGACTCGAACCCGAAACTTGTGGTACCGAGCGCCAAAGAGCTAACCACTCGGCCATTCAGGCCCACACTCCTCAAAGGAGGAGATAGTGGGTTACTATTAGCTTCAGCATTAACAATGGATACCACGATACCAAAAATGATCGTCAGAAGAAATCTCATCATGTAACGTAAGAGGAGATAGTATTAGTTGTGTTGCCAGTGTGCTCATAGTTAAAAATATTGGAATCATCTATGTGTATGCTTGTCTAACAGTAGGGTAGTTAATTCTACTGTTTGTTGGAAAGCATCCTGGGGAGAATCGCGTTTTTATTTAAATTTATTGTCATCCAAAAATTAAAATGGCTCAAATTTCTTCTTGATGTTTTCAAACCAGTCATTGATAAGAATTAAGTTCTATATATTCTAAATATAATTTTTCATTCATCTTCATAATTAAAGTTAAGATAGAGTGTCATATGCAAAGAAATTTCAAAACATCAAATGTGAAAGATTCAAACAGTGAAGAAAGCACCACGGGGCCTTTTCAAAGACATATATATGGATCATTATCAGAAGCCACACTGAATCGCTATGCATCGCTGAAAGGATTAGCCTGCAATCTATCACAGACTACTAATGTCGAGCGATACATCTCTCCAAACGGATGCGGCAATGAGCGCGTCACAATGAAGATGCTGCACTCATAATCGACACCAAAGAATTGTTCGCAGAAATCTCGCAAGAGAAAGAACATACGTAGATGCTGTAGAAGTTCTGCCACTTGTAGGGAAGCACCATGGATGTTCCTTATACCATTAAGTTTTTTTTTTTAATATGCTTTTATTAGTTTCACCTGCATGTTTGTTTGTTTTGTTTGTTTGTAACCGACTCTTTGGGCTCGATTTTGCCCTAATTTAAGCGATCAGATTTAATTTAAACGTGTGTAATTTTAACGTATCAAGGACCGACGACAATAAAATATTTTTAAAAAGTTTATCATCTTATCAGGATTAGGATCGCCAGGATTAGTGATTTTATTTTAATTTATGAAGAGCAATTTAACCCATGTAGAATGAAAGTACCTAAGACATTCAAACCTATGTGGGACAGTGGCGCAACGGATAACGCGCCTGACTACGGATCAGGAGATTCCCTGTTGGCCCGAATCATGGCTGGCTCGACATATTCACATTTAGCCTTGTTTTCCCTCACAATTAAATTATTATAAGAACCATAATTCAGGTCCTCTGTACCGGGGCCCTCATTTAAATATTGTAGTTTAAAAACACTAAAAAAACTCTTTTAGAGTTAATCAAACTAAAAGTAAAAAATTTATTGTTAACATAAGAATAAAATTACTGTCGAGAAAAATGAATGTAACTGTTCTAAAAGCGTGGGGTTCTTTGTATGACATTTTAAACTAACTCTGCATTTCGAAATGAAACTAGTGAAAAATTATAACGATTGATATCGAACATCTCACGTTTTTAGAACAGTGACATTCATTTTTCTCGTCAGTAATTTTATTCTTATGTTAACAATTATTTTTTACTTTTTTTTTTTTTAAACTATAATTTTTGTATTGTAAATAAAGAATAGATCTTTATGATATGATACAATGTATTCCAAACAATTTCTTTTATATATTCCCATAGAATTGGGTCTCTGAAGGGCTGAAATATGTATTAAATTTACAGGACTTTCAAAATGAAAGGACAACTGCACACACACAACTCCCATATTTTGCATTAGAAATGGTCGAGATAAATCTGTGGGCTAAAAGTTTCCATTGGGTTTGATGAAGCGTGGGATGCTAAATGACTAGATAGACTTTTGAGTGTGTTAGATTAAATTTTATATTGTAATATTAATATAAACAGTGTTAAGACAATCCATTTTATTTCTAAGTAAGATTGAATCTCTTCATTCTGTGATTATGAGCTAACTATTCAAGTTATTTTTTAAGATTATAAATGTTAAACAATATCTGATCCACGCAATTTATAACGATTCGAATTACTTCTGAAGAAGAGACGAAATTGTTTTAGAAACATTACTTCAGAATTGTTATTTCATTTCGAATTGAATGCCTCAACCACTTAAGATGTACAAAATGAAACCAGCATAAATGTATTCGGAACACTATTTGACAAGCCCTTTTAAGTCCACAAACATAATCAGTTACTGGAAATTTTGCACTTTACATGCTTTCGAAAAACGTTCTTTTCTACACAAATTACTTTCAGATTTCTACAGTGAAATACCAAATTGAAATTTAAATTGACAGAAGCTTTTTGTAAACTCATAGTTGCTCAAAAATAATCTGCCACCATGCTTTTTAAGAAAATGGACTTTTTAGAATTTTTGAAAAATCAGTGTTTTTCGTAGCAATCGTAATTCATAGCGCCTTTTGTTGTAAAAAGGCTTTTTTTACGGAATAGCGTTTCTCTTCCTTTTTTAAACCAGAAATTGAATAAAGTCAATACAACATTTGTAAAAAGCTCAACTTATTTTTGCTTTTGCATTCATCTGGTCCACTCAACTACTGAAGAATTGGAAGAAAAAAAATTATAAGTAAAGAAAGTTTCGCTTTGGTTAAAAGCAAAGAACTAAAAGTGGAAAATGTTTAAATAAAAAAAAAAAAAAAAAAAAAAAAAAACGTTGGCACATATAAAGATAAATAAACAAATTTTTTATGGCTAAAATTCATTTATATTTCTAAATAAGAAATTTTTTTAGTATTATACAAAAGATTTTAAAAAAAAATACTGATTTTGGAAAAGAGAAATTCATTGCCATTGTTTTTAGTATGAAAAAAAAAGAGTTAATTTACAGTATTGAAAATTGCTAAAGTGCCATTACAAAGACATAATTTTACATCGAATTCTTACATAAATATGGATATAAGGGTATTTCTGTTATTATATTAATTTCTGTAGGGAGTATATCTAGTAGGTTTAATTTTTTATTTAGTACGTGGTAAAGTTAATTAGTTATTAGGAGTCATTTGTTATAAAATATAACTATTGTTAAGGAGAAACAAGTATTCTACCGATATCCCATACAATGGTATATTGTCAAAATTTAATAAGCTTTCGTTGCACCGTATATTGGGTTGTATCTGTCACTGTTTAAAAAATATAAAAACATATTGCCTTCTAACATTTATTGATTACTATAATAAGCTTTTTAAGTTGTAGTGATCGTAAGCAACAATAAAATCCATATTTTTGTATACAATATTTTATTATTTTTTATGTTTGCTAAACTTTTATTGTTCAAAAGAATTTATTCAGTTTTTTTTTTCAGTTTATGGCTAAAAATTATGGACAGTGCATTCTTGTTTAAAACATTAATAATTAGGAGAAAATTAAAAATAAATACGTATCGATATATAAATTATTAATAAAAAATCTTAATGTCAGTCTCTACATTCAGGAAAACATACGTATGACTTACTTGATAATGCTTTATTTAATGCAAGGGCATTGTTTTGTGAATATTGTAAACTATTGTTAAAATCAGTGTAATATTGTTTTATGCATCATTGTTTTATAAATACAGATTTCAAAACATTCCATGTCATAACAAAATATGTGTTAAACTAGATATAGCTAGGAAATAATCTTAAGAATACTTATACCTTCAGTAAAAATTGTTTATATGGAATTTAAAAGTACTTCACATGAAATGCGAAATACTTTCATTCATTTTCAATTATCACGACTTGTGTAGTTAAGATTATTCTATAATCCATTATTTTTTTTTCTGGCTCTTTGAGCTCTTTATAAAATTACCAAATGTAATAAATTGCATATTTTAATCTGCATTATTTATAAATGCAATCCATGGTCACATTTTATGATTACATTTTTTAAACTAAACTAGTTCAAACGTTGCTTGTAAAAAGCACTGGTAATAGTGCTTACAATGTTGCAATAAAGGAAAATATTTTAAAATAGTTCTATTTTTAAAATAATTTAAAATGTAGTATCATTAAGCATGAAAAAGTATGTATAATAATTTTCTAATCTACTTAATGATTAATGTTTTCTAGGAATGATTTTATCAGGGATTGTATAATTTAATCTTTCATTTTAATTGAATTTTTTAATGCCGCTTATTGTCCATTATCGACGTGAAGTATTTTACATCCTTCTTACATTTTGAGCTAAATTTTCTTTAATAAATTGAAGCTAAATTAATCACAATTGGGTAAAGAAAATCATGTGCCTAAAATCTCAATAAAAACATACAAAAGAATAATTATAAGGATTCATCAACTAATTACACTTCACCTTGTATATATGCAAGATTCTGTACTGTTATTGTCTTTTTTACTTCAGTATGAAATGAAAACTAAACATCGTCTTTTAATCATAATTAGAGCCATTAAATGGCAGCTTTTATCAACGTCCTCATTTAAGAGTTTTACAGACATTAATTTTATTCGTAATTAGGTTTCAACTCATTATGAATAGTAGCTGAATAGAAGTTCATTTCCCTTAACACAACATGTTCCTGATAAACCGTATTATTTATTATGTAATGGAGTTATTAATTTAAATGATTTTAGTTAACACGTATAATTTTGTTTAACGTCTTTTTTATATCTTAAATTGTCTATCAATCCAACATTTTATTATATTTCATTTATTTTACATAGAAAAATAACAAAATCATACGAATACTATTTTTTTTTTCATAAATGCGATCTGAAAATGTATTTGTTTTATTTGTAAAATGAAACTAATATTATGTTTGTTTTTGATGTCGATGTTTATTATTAATTCTGCGATAAGTTTAAAAAGTGTATAAAATTCCCACAAAGGACAATTAAAGAAATATGCTTAAACTTATATATGTTTTATTCATTATTATTAGTTGCAATAATTACTTCAAATGTGCAATTGAATCACTGACTTCCAAATTTAATACAAGACATTCTTCATTTATAACATATTAACAATGCTAAAATTTAATATTCCTGACGAAATACAAGCAGGCCTAATTGAATAAATTTTAGTTGGCAAGATTACATATTCTCGTATATATAAATTGAAGTATAATAATAAATAAATAACGAATTTATAAAGTTGATAAAAACTAAATAATTCACTACTAATTAAAATTATTCAAAAGTCTTATAAAAAAAATTTCACCTTTCCGGCTTGTCAAATGTTAAAAATATTTTAAAAAGTTTATTAATTGAATAAATTTCCAAAATCAATCCAAAATATTAATGATAAATATCACGTTAAGTTTCGTAAGAACAATAATGCATTCAATTTTCTAAACCTGGTGAAGGGTTAAAAAAATTCATCGTCCTACGCATAAAAAAAATAAAAAGAAATATGACTTTCAAATATTGTTTGGAGTCATTATGATTGATACTGTTTGCAATGGAAAATAAAAATATGGGAAGCAATCCTTCCAAGCCATGGATTAAAAAAGATATGAACACTTGCATGGTTAAAATTATAGAGAAATCGGAAAATCCGTCATGGTCTAACGAATTGCTTACGTTAACAATTAAACTGTTTGTAATTATTACATCTAGAACTGATTCAAGTATCGGGTTATAAAAACAACCAATGAAGAACAATACATAACAAGGTATGAAGGAGAGTTCTTGTGAAATAAAGGGAAATACAAGTAACAATTCAATGAAAGTCGCTTCTGTGTAGGGTCTTATAAGAAAATGGGAAAATAGTGCAAAGGCTAAAACTAAATCGTTGCGATTAAAATTTCTGTCTTCCAAATCCCAGATAAAGAAGTAACATTTTACAGCCAATATTTCCCAGTACACAGTTTCGTTATCTCGATCTACATTAATTATAGGCCTGATTTTGTCTTGCAGTTGGATCCAGGCTGTCATTCTGAAATTAGATGCGATTATAAATACAATATACAAATGTTTTTTAATGTTTCCAACTACTATTATTACATATAGTTAAAAATTGCTGGTTATATTTTTAGTTATTACAAGTAATAATTTAATACGGTTTTGATAAAAGTAGTTGTTCCAAAGTGGGTACAAAAATTTATTGCTTATAGATTACTAATACTTCAATACAAAATAAAAATTGTTCGTGTTATTACTGCTATCATTTGACTATTTACAATTAAGCAACCTAAGAATTTCACATTTAAAAATTTGAATTTTTAGTGAATTAGATC